GTTCTCCCAGTATATTTTTTGTAAACATGTTAGCATAAATTCTGTCTGCTGTGATATTATAGTAGTTAATTCATATTTCTTTTTTTGTTTTTCTTTGTACAAAATTGTAGACGGGTATCTAACCATCTGTGTCCATAAATGTTTCAGTTAATCTTTCAAATTATTTTCCCTTTTATTTTTAATCTTATTTTTGTATGATGCATAAGAAATCAACCTCGAATGTATGCTTTATATGCTTCCCATTCAAAAATTCGGGCACTTGACGTTGCTGAATGCAAATCAAAATATTGTGAGGTCTGTATCTGCATTTGTGTACAAATTCTTTATCATTCAATAGGCAAACACTGAAATACCAATTTCTTGATACTGTAACTGGTTTCTGAAATGCACATTTCAAGATGATTGCACTATGATCAGATATATAACAAACATCAATATTACATTCTTGAATTTGGTGATATAATAATCGATGATATTAAAAAAATAATCAAGTCTAAAAAAATTCTGGTGCACATTTGAATAAAATGTATATTCTTTTTTAGTTAGATACATCAAATGCCAGGGATCTGTTAAATTCAGTTCTTCCATGTAAGTCTTAATTGCTTCCCTCACTAATGATTGGTTTTTTGTGCCAGTGTATTTCTATCAAGCTCAGGATTCAATATTTCACTGAAATCTCCTATTATCACTTTATCATAAATTCACTCATTCAAGTATTGAAAACATTCATAAAACATAATAGGAGAATCTAAATTTGGTCCATAAACATTAACCGTAGCTATTGCAGTCCCTGCTATTTTAGCACATAAAATTAAATAACACCCATTTGTATCAATGATAACTTATTGTACATCAACTAGGAATCCTTTTTGAATCAAAATGGCCACACCTTTAGCTTTCATCAAAGTATCTGTCAGGTAAACCTGTCCCACTCAATCCTTCATTAATAGAGACTTACAGTATCCTGTTCCATTAAATGTGTCTCCTGTAGATAAGCAATATCTGCCTTTAATTATTTTAAATATGCTAAGATTATATTTTGTTTCTTAGATTCTCACAACCCTTTTACATTGAGACTAACTAACTTCATCCATTAATTTTATTTTGGCCCACCTATCAATATTCTCCCAATGCTAATTCATTTTATGACCTGTACCATTTAACAAATATCTAATAATAAACTTTTCTATGTTTAAATATTAATGCTAATTCATTTTATGACCTGTACCATTTAACAAATATCTAATAATAAACTTTTCTATGTTTAAATATTAATGCTAATTCATTTTATGACCTGTACCATTTAACAAATATCTAATAATAAACTTTTCTATGTTTAAATATTTAACATATTTTCTAGTATTTCTCACAGATGTAGAACCTCATAAAGACTCAGTTTAGCATTCAAATACCACTCTATTACATATATACTGTATACAAAATCTATAAAAAAAGAAAAACATGATTATGGGCAAAAAAATAAAAGTACAAGCAAGTAATATTATTAAAAATATTAAAAAGAATCCTAAAAAGAAAAAGAAAATCACAGAACTTGACAACTTCTCAAAGGGGATGGCATGGTAGTTTCATCTCTCTTTTTACAATGAAAACTACAAAACAGTCGCAAACATTACTAGTTGAAAGAAATGTACTGTCTGTTAAAAATAGTTGATAGAGTTGGCACCATAACCAGACTTTCTATCTTGAAATTAACCAATACATTAAAAAAGGGTACAGAAAAAAATGCAAACATAGAGGTTTTTAAAAAAAGACTTTTGCAGCAGAGCTGTAGGCAAACTCAAACTTCTCCTGCAGCAGATACCATGGAATGAAATACAATCAGGCTTGTCTATCAACATATTTTAAAGACAGGATAAAGGCCTCTGCATTCAAAGGATTATCAAATCTCTGAATCTGATTTTGATGACTAATGCAGGATGTAGCTGGAAAATGTATGAAATATTGAAGTGGTATTGATCTGGCAAGACTTCGAACTTTTGTAAACATCCTTCTCTTTTCTGAAACTTTAGTAAAACCAGAATAATTTGATATCTTGCTTTGACTAGAACTCTACTTCAAAGGATATTTTACTGATTCCTGGCGAAATATATGTAAAATCTCATCTCTTGTGGTAAGACGGAGGAATTGCACAAGAATACTATTGGAACTAGTTCCAGTCTTCCTTCTCGTTAAAAGAATTTTAATCACATGATCAGTGTCAACTGGAAAATTCGTTCCCAAAGGAAGGAGCTTTCTGAAAAAATCCTCCATAAATCCAGCCAGGTTTGATTGATTTGGAGGGTTTTAATACCAATCACACATAGATTTTTCCTATGTAACTATGACTCTAAATAAGTAATTTGTTTATCCAAAATATTATGACTGGCTTGAGTAATTGTCTTTTGGGCATTTAAGTGATCCTCATAGCAAGCCATTTTTTCTTGCATCAATTTTAAATCACATCTAAGCTCTGCCAGGATCTCTTTTAACAAATTAGTAGAAGAATTTTCCTCTGCCATCTTGCCTGGCTTGGCAGGTAGCAATGCAGTTTAAATTGAGCCAGCTGTTGAACGTTTAGGTCTAGTTGCCATCCCAATAGCTCATTAAAAACAAGGTAATATGTAATAAAAGTTTTATTTACCAATGATCAAAGTCTTTGTCCACACAGTCCGATAATTCAGAAGTTTGAAAGCACTTTAATCAGGAGAGAGGTGAAAGATGTGCACTGACAGTGGCATCCCAAGCAGGAAGTATGTTTTTCTCTAACTTAAAAACAAAAATAACAAAAGAAGGACAGCTGCATGCTACTGTATATATTTTAATATATTGCATAATTTGCCCTTCAGTTTAGAGGCAACTGAATTTTGATAATACTGAGCCCCTCTAAGCACCTATGATTCAATCTAATATTGGTAGAAAATTATGCTTGAAGTGTGAAGGGTGATCATTCTCAAATCAAAACAATCTACCTCTTGATAATGGCCAATTTTAGGCAAATCATACAACTGCAGCCCTCTACAAACAGGCAGGGTAAAAAAAAAAAAAAAGTAAGATACCCCTTAGTTGATGATCTGAACAATGAGAGAAAAAGAAGCTCTATCATGATCTGCGTGAATAGCCATTATTACTATTATTATTATTATTATTATTATATTATTATTATTATTATTAAAAAGTATATGCTGCCCAACTCCCAATGACTCAGTAGTTCATAGTTTTCAAGCTTGATTTACCAACATCCAATGCTTTCGTACATCGTCACAGAATAGGAGGTCTTCAGAGCAAAAATATAGCAAAACTGAATTATACTTACATAGCATATTTGTTGCCTAGAGAATTCCAAAGCTCTTAAAAACAAAGAAAGTAGGATGATATGAGATATATACTTGTATTCATTATAATAATCATGGTATATAAATCAAACTGATGTATCCACGTATTTGATCTATATAAACATGTAAACCAAGCACTGATAACAAGTCAGTATAGACATCTGAAAAAAAACCTCTAACCCACACCATTTCATTTTGCCTCAAAAGCAGGGAACATGTATAGTAATTCTTGTCACAAAACTGGGCTGAAAATTTGGAAAATAATTTATACTGACATAATAAATTTTGCAGCAATATCTATTGCTGGAAATTCAATCACAATTTAATCACAATCAAAGTTCAGATGAGGAAAGTGACATCTGAATCTTTTCACATAATAGGCCCAAGCTAAAGTATGAGTAAATCTAATTGAAATGAAAAGGACCTTCAGTTTCAATTAGTCTATATAATTCCTGTTGGACAGAGGCCAGATTTTTTAATGATTAAGTATTCTAACAAAATATCTAAGTGAAAATCCCATCTGTTTAACTTTCAAAGAAATGTTTAAACTACATTTCTTAGAAGATACTATAAGATTCAAAACAGATGGAATTCCCATGAAGAGAACAAATAAATGATTTTCAACAGTTCTGCCTTAGATAGATTAATCTAACATGTATCAGTGTCAGACGTACTGTATCCAAATTTTATCCTTTCCCACCTAATTTCTCAGTGAATCATGAAAAAAGAAAAGAAAAATGCCCCCCCAACATCTGAAATGCTGCCAGATGTATTATGGGCACTCCTTCTAATGTGTGTGTTTGTGTTTGTGTGTGTTTATATGATTACCCTAATATTTCCTTTTTACTAAGCAATTACTCCCCCTATTCACTTTTTTGAACATAATTTTCCTAAATATGTTAGTTTGCACCAAAACATATACTAGTTTTAGGCAGGTTTCACAAAAACATGCTACTCTGTGTATAACCTTCCCAAATATATTTAGTTTGCATGACATTTCTTTGCTGAGAACAATGGATAAAAATGGGCTCTATTTATTCCTGCTGCTCTTAGAGGCATTTAGGTTGGGGGAGGGAGCCAAGGGAGGCAATGACAAAAGCAGGATTGCAAAGATGTGATACAAACTCTGCACCTTTTATAAGTGCATCACACAATTGCACACAAGTAAGAAAGGGGCAGAGCTTGTGTCACAACAGTGCGACACTGCTTTTATCACTTTGTTGAAAGCACTGGATCCTGTGGATGCCTCTGGAAGATGTACATGCCATGATGGGATTGGCTTTGATGGTCAGTGGCTTTTTTGAGTCAAAGATATATGTAATAGATTTTTCTATTTGAAACTGGTATTGGGAAAAAGAAGCAGTGACTTGATTTAAGTTCAAAGTACATTGCAGTATGAGTTTCTCTATCAGTTCAATTGGTAGGATAAGCTCTGAATGCACAACCCTCTGAAACAGTGCTGATTCCAGCGCTGTTTCAGTTTCTCTAGCCTCTGATGTCAAGGAAACAACATGTCACACCAGAATCTAGGCTCAAAGAAGAATATTAGGTTACAGTGAGAGACACAAAGACTTCACTATGCTTCCAAGCCATCAAAAATAAAAGAAAGGCAGGACTGGAAAACAGAAAATGAAAAGTTTAATAAGTTCCATTATCATATGCCTGGGAGCTTCCATGGCTCATGATTACCATCCCAGAAGGCAGCTGTTATTCAGTGATGTCTCATGACTATTATCCACACCAATGACCAACTTTGGAAAGTATATCTTTAAACCAGTCCTTCAGATTGAATTGAAAGAGCAGTTTATCTCTTATGATAACTGAGGCAAGCTTTCTGCATGTCTTTCAAGAAGTTGGGAACTCCAGTCTGAAATGGGAATTGAAAAACACTTATCCTTCTATATTTAACGGTGTACTAAGTAACAACTAGTTTTCTTTACATTTCATTACTTTTGCTACTACTCAAAGAAAAAACATTCTTTTAAGTCACCCATTTCACTCTTTGATTACAGAGAATCATCATATCGGGGCTTAATATCTGTACTAATTCTGGGGACACACTCAGTGAATTACTGGTATCTCTTCTACAGTAGCAGCCAGTCACTACCATCCACACTTTTCAAATTACAGTGGTACCTCGGGTTACGAACGCCTCTGCTAACGAACTTTTCGGGTTACGACCAGCTCCGGCCGCAAAATTTTCCCTCGGTTTGCGAACTCCGCCTCGGGGTATGAACAGGATACACGGCCATTTTCCCTCCTGTGATACAGTCCGCGGCCATTTTTCCGCCTCTGACACGTGGTCCGCGGCCATTTTTCCGCCCCTGACACGTGGTCCGCGGCCATTTTTCCGCCTCTGACATGTGGTCCGCGGCCATTTTCCGCCCCTGACACGTGATCGTAGGTAGGGGGACTCTCCCTCCAAGCAATAGCCTCCCTGTCCTCCACGCCAGAACGGATTAACAGTAATTACATTGAACCTTATGGGGAAATTTCCTTCGGGTTGCGACCAATTCGGGGTGCGACCAGAGTCACGGAACGAATTAAATTCGTAACCCGAGGTTCCACTGTATATAATTTTATATGGAAAGCAACAACAAAGCAATATTTCAAACCTCCAGGAGCCCATGAATCGAAATGACTTATTGACTTAACTCATAGCATTAGTTCTTTAGAGCTTCAATTACCCTGCTTACCTTAGCTGCCCAGTTGACAACCCACGAAGGAAGCTTTCCACCAGGATCATCAAAATAGGACATGAAAACTTTTTAACCAAAAAAAGAAAAAAAATGCAATTTTAAGAGTAGCTTTTTCATTTATCGCCAACTGGTAAATGCCTGTAATTTAGAATTAAGGATGGACGGAACTCATTCCACAGAATGTATTATTTCACTGGACATCAAGATGAGATATCTGCTGAAACTTCACATGGTTTTTGAGCATGTTTTGCTCCTTTTCCCTCCCCCAGAGATCATAATTTGCCCCCACTCCTGCATAATGTCCTGCTCACGTGGATTCTGTTCCAGGCTACTGCGCAACTTACTATACATAAACCTGGTCCAGAACAAAAGCAATAAAGAAAAGGGATGAATCTGAAAAAGTAATTTCTTTCCCTAACCCCATTGCCTAACTTATTCTTTGTAGGAAATCCACATTTGGCCTTTACCAAATCTTTGTGTGTGTGTGTGTGTGAGAGAGAGAGAGAGAGGGGGAGAGAGGGAAGGAAAGGGAAGGGAAGGGAAGGGA